GCAGTGTCATGCATCAACAGCAGTAACAGCTTGTCCAGGTTCTGCCGTCATCTGAACAGAATTATAGAGACATCCGGGAACTGGCGTAACTCTTCAAAGATGAGAACGTCATAGCCACTCACATAGGACAATGTCCCCGATATATTTAGCGTCAGATAGTAACACTAATTTTAGAGCTAGGGTGTGATCCTATACCTTCTACAACTGTTTGTGAAATATTGTTGTCGCACATGGAGTCTGGAGGGCAGAAGAGATCTGTGCTTGTATGCTAATTAAATGATTGGTGGTTCAGACCCACAGAAGAAGGGTCTGGCAATCGGCTCTCATAATGATGGCAGCCTAGAAAGCCAGATGGGACTGTTCTCTGTAACACATGGGGTTGCCCTGAGCTTAGGATCAATTCAACAGCAGCAGTTAACATGTAGTGTTTAAAATTCCACACATGTTGAAAGTTGTACAATTTGATCAATTTGACGTGTGCATGAGGATAAGTCAAAAAGTACTACAAAACCATAGAAACCTTTTTTAAACAAACTCTGAAATGAGCGTTTCTTAACATTTCCTCCATCTAGATCTGTACACTCCTGAAGACAGCATTTCCATCTTTCTAGCACTTCCCCAAAGAGTTCTGCGCCCTTCGGTATTCACCGCATCATAATGACAGTTTTGGCGATGAGTCGGAGCTGACTCAATGATACTTAACAACAACAACAAAGCACTCAAGTCATGTATCTTTTCAATGTTCTTCGAGTTTGGAGTAAAAACAGAAGGCCGAAGGGGCAAGATTAGGGCTGTAGGGTGGTGAGGTGGTTTCCCAATGGACTTCTCCTCCTGCTACCCCCGAAACTGAGTGGATCCGTTGCTATGATGGAAAAAAACAAACAAACTTGGTGCCACGTTCCCGACATTTTTCTCACAAATGCAGTTTTCCATTTTCTTAAAACTTTTTCCTAACAAACCCCCATGATTATCCTGTGTCCTTTGAAAAACATCTATCAAGATGACCCCTTCAAAGTCCCAAAAAGCGATTACCATAACCTTTTTGGCTGACCTCTCTGCCTTGAATTTAACTGGCCCAGCAGATGCCCTTGGCAGCCACTGTTTTCATTAGACCTCTTTGGGCTTTTTGGAAGTTCCCCTGAGGAGGCAAAGACAAGTGTATTACTGAGAGAACTTGTCTGTAGCGATCCACTGATTGCAGAGGCTCCACGGCACCCCACCACCAGCACCACCAAGCCTTAGCTGAAGCCTTGGTGGTGATACATTTGGATAATGTGTGTGCTCACTCCCCCTAAGAGTCTGCTTGTGCTCCTTTAGAATTCTTCCCTTCCCGTCTCTCTGCACTCACACCTCATCCCCAAGCAAGCACTGGTCTGTTGTATGTCACAGCACATTCATTTGCTTAGTCTACAATTTGATACCAGTCCAACCCCATAGTAGGTCTCTAGTTTGGGCCCACCTTCTTTCTCTCAGTGTTAAGTATTTGGAGGTTCACCCATGGTGTGTGTATCAATTGTTCCTTTTTCACTGGATGGATGTACCATGATTGGTTTAATTATCTGTTTATGAACATTTGAACCACTTCCAGTTCTGAGCTATTCACAAATAAAGCTACTGTGAACGTTTGTGAGCAAGTCTTTGTATAAATACATGTTTTCTTTTCTCTTGAGAAAATGCCTAGGAGTATGATGGCTGGTCATGTGGGTAGGCATATGCTTAACATAGTGGCTGTTCCATTTTATATCACGACCTGAATGAAAGTTCCTGTTGTTCCACATACTGTACCAAGACTTAGCAAGCTGCCTTTATCATTTTAGCCATTCGTGGAAGTGTGTGGTAGCGTCACATTGTGGGTTATCATTTCAGCCGTGCGTGGAATGTGTGGTAGCATCACATTGTGGTTTATAATTTCAGCCGTATGTGGAGTGTGTGGTAGCGTCACATTGTGGTTTATCATTTCAGCCATGAGTGGAGTGTGTGGTAGCGTCATATTGTGGGTTTAATTTGGTATTGAGAATCCTTTACTGTTTCCTTTTGCCGTTTGTATATTCCAGGATTTCTAATTAGTTCAGTACAGCTCAATGTTTGCTATTGTCAGCAAGGGCTGTGTAAGTGTTGCATAGCAACTAAATCTGTTGTCGGTGGTATTTTGACCTGAGTAGGATAGAAATGATGCTGGCGATCGCATGATAGAATTCTGCAAAACCAATGATTTGTTCATTTCAAATACCTTCTTTAGACAGCATAAGAGATGATTATACACATGGACCTCACCAGATGGAACACATAGAAATCAAATGGACTACATTTGGGGAAAGAGACAATGGAAAAGCTCCATATCATCAGTGAAAACAAGGCCAGAGGCAGACTGTGGAACAGACCATCAATTACTCATATGCAAATTCAAACTAAAGCTGAAACAAATGAAAACAAGTCCACGAGAGCCAAAATATGTATGACCTTGGATATATCCACCTGAATTTAGAGATCATCTGAAGAACAGATTTGATACATTAAGAAGACCAGAAGATCAGATTTTATACATAACGAAGACCAGAAGAGTTGTGGGATGACATCAAGAACATCATACATTAAGAAAGCAAAAAGTCATTAAGACAAGAAAGAAGGAAAAGATAAAAATGGATGTCAGAAGAGACACTGAAACTTGTTCTACAGGGTAGAGATGCTAAAGCAAATGGAAGAAATGAGGAGGTATAAGAGCTGAAGAGAAAATTTCAAAGGTCAGCTGGAGAAGACAAAGTCAAATATTACAACAAAATGTGCAAAGATCTGGAGTCAGAAAACCAAAAAGGAAGAACACGCTCA